CAAATTTTCTCTATAAATAAAGACTCGTGAATAAAATTATATTATGCTCTTTTGATAAAATAACTCTTATAAAATATCTCATCAGACAAATATCATAAAATAACTCCATCATTGGTAGTAGAGCTAAGGTTAGAATCTTGGAGATGGAAGCAAAAAAAAACTTTTCACAAATTTCTCCACCTTATTTTGATGGAGAAAGTTACGATCTTTGGGCGGTGAAAATGGAAGCATACCTAGAAGCTTTAGATCTCTGGGAAGCCGTAGAAGAAGATTATGATGTTTCTGCATTGCCAGAAAATCCTACCGTAGCCCAAATGAAAATTTACAAGGAAAAGAAAATCAAGAAGGCAGAGGCAAAAAATTGTCTCTTTGCCTGTATTTTACAAAATGTTTCACTAAGATTATGACTCTCAAATCAGCAAAAGCAATTTGGGATTACCTAAAGGAAGAATATGTCGGAAATGAAAGGATTCGAAGCATGCAAGTATTAAATTTAATGAGAGAATTTGAAATTCAAAGAATGAAGGAGACTGAGACAATCAAACAATACTCTGACAAATTGGTTGGCATTGATAATAAGGTACAATTACTAGGAATGCAATTTCTTGATTCTAGAATTGTTGAAAAAAATTTAGTAACTATACCCGAAAGATATGAAGCTTCAATAGCGGCCTTGGAGAACATAAAGGATCTGAGTAAGATCACTTTGGCAGAAGTGTTACATGCATTGCAAGCATTAGAACAAAGGAGGCTCATGAGAGAAGAAGGATCTATGGAGGGTGTATATTTAGCCAAATGGAAGAACAACAATGGTGGCAAAAATAAGAAGAAGGAATTGTTCCAAGAGAACACTCAAAATAATAACACTCAAAATTTTTCACCATGTCCTTATTGCAAAAAGACTAATCATCCACAACAGAGATGTTGGTGGAAACCTGATTTAAAATGTGACAAGTGCAGACAATTAGGACACCTAAAACATGTATGCAAATCTCATGAGCAACAAGAAGAAGCCAACATTGTTGAAGATCAACAAGAAGAGGAAGAAGAACAACTACTTTCAATGTCATGCTTTATGACCAAAAAAACCCTCAAAAGCTTGGATTATTGATAGTGGTTGTACAAACCATATGACTTATGGCCGAGAACTCTTCAAAGAACTCAACAAAATTGATATCTCTAAAGTCCAAACGGGAAATGGAGCACACCTTACAGTAAAAGGCAAAGGAACAGTGGTTATTAAAAGTCATTCAGGTTTGAAATTAACTCTTATAAAATATCCCCTCAGACAAATATCATAAAGTAACCTCTATCAAATTATGAACTCAATTTTGCACACATTGAAAGTGTTACAAGTGTTTAAATACTAAAATTAATTAATCTCTGATTGAGTAAAACAAACAGAAAATTATGGCTAAACTAACAAGCAAATATCATTTGTAAGCACAATTTACTTTTTTTTGAACATAAGCAACTTGTAATTAAACTTACAAGTAAAACAGAAAATTATAGAGACTAAAATATTTAATTTTGACAATGAAAAATCTCAACTGCCAACTACTAAAAAAAAACTCGTGTGTTTTATGTTACTTGATATAATGTTCACTTCTCCCTGTATGAGTGAGGTTCATTTCTATAAAAAAAAAATGACTTTGTTCTGATAAATTTCACAGCATGAATAGAACCGATGATTCCTTTCATGGGCAGAGCTAAAGTATTTTTCCTAAGACCAAGAGAAAGATAAATTTATTTTGGACCAAGTCAAAATATATTTTATTAAAATTATACATATATATGAAATTAAAATCATGAGGTGCCAAGGCCTCAAACACACGAGGTAGCTTCCCTGCCAAGGAAGGTGCAGAGTAACAATGAACTTAACATCAAGGTTTACTTAAGAACTTGATTAACACTGGCCTACTCATGTACACGAAGCTTTCTCTTATACCATTGCCATGGCTTATTATCTATATCTATAGTTATAAGTTTTTCGAAGCCAAAGAACCAATGCTTTTATATAACACATTTTTGGATGAATCCATGACCTTAAATGCAAGAAGCATAGGTTTGATGTTTCCAGACCAAATAAAGAAAAATTTGTCTTAAAGAAAAACAATAGGTCTTGAACTGTAAATGATATTCCATGTGATCGTGCTCCTTGATTAGGAAAATGGAAGAAGCAATGACCCTTGGAAAATCAAAATGCTTTTGTAGCGATGATAGAACGGGACGCTGGGAGTACTAAACTAACTGACTATATATAATTACTATGTGTTGCCTAAAGCAGGAAACGAATGAGCCACAAATTATAGAAAAACTTTAGAAACAAATGGCTAAAACTGTATTGACAATGTCGAGGATTCCTTGTTTTGGATAATGAATGTTTATTGGAATAAAATAGGGCAGCAGTAACAACCCTATTCAAGGTTGGTCAATAACTCCAACAGAATTACTGCACTTATCCTTTATCTTAGCTGTTATATATCAAAATAAATTTGATAATGATACTGTTGTATGTACTAAAACTTTGAGAAAAGAAAAATGTGATTAAACAACGTCTCATGTTGCATTCTAATTCAGGCAACTTGTTTCAACTTTGGTACAAAATAGAAGATCCTCAAAATAAACTAAAACCCCTTCTGTACAAATTTGCCTCATCTAATCTATCTGAGTCTCTTCTAGAATGATTTACAGTTCATTCAAGTGAGAGGTGACATGTAGGAACTCAGCCTCCTTACATGGTATTGTTAGACCACCTGTTGGATGCTCATATCCAAATTCTTCTTCTGCTTGACTAAGCAATTCTTGAAACAAAGGTTGGTTCAAGTATGATACTGGAATCACGAACCGTCTCATCTTATCTCCAACATAGACTGCAAGATATCCTTTTGGTACTTCAACCCTCTTGGAGGCTGCATGGGTTTTAGAAAATGAAGCTCGCCTAATAATAGCTGGCATGCGGAAGCCCATTTTTCTCTGTTACTCCACACAACAAATAAGGACTTGTATATGAAAGAAATATTTGAATTCTGATTCTTGGGGGATACGATGGCTTGTGTTGCATGAGAACCCAAGAACTAGTGTATATATAGTTGCTAAGGGGCAAGAGCATCAGCAGTGCAATTGCACAATTGGTCACAATAGTGTCTATTAAGGGACAAAGGATCACATGGTATTGTCTCGGGTCTTTTTCAAAGATTAGGAAGTTCAATGGGAGTGCATAACTCAGGTTCTGAGATATAGCCAGAAAATTACCAACCTGAGAACCTAATGTTGGTTCATGCAATCTGATAGAGTGAATCTAATGGTGGATATGCTTTAGACATCTCACATGCTTCTTTAAATAATTGAGATGACAGTGCTATTGATAGATATGTCTACCAATACCATATAACAACTAACATTAGAGTGAGTGCAAGGAGAACGAGCGTTTTGAAAGGAGAACGGGCCGTTCTGGATCCAGTTTTATACCATGCTCAGATCTAAAACGCAAAAAAAAAATTAACACGTATAAGAAAGAGAAATTTAAAATAAATGAATTTAAAATTTTTAAATTTTGATTATTAAATAATTTGACACGTAAGAAATTAAATAATATATAATTAATGTTTATTTAGCATAAAATCCATATCATTAACGTCTGTTAAATTTTGGATGGTAAATTGTTTGTAGGACTAAAATTGCTCATTATTTGAATTTATGGACTAAAATTAAACAATTCAAATTATGAGGA